TTTGTAACTGGGTAGATTAGAGATGGTTATATGACTCAGCTTCTGAGGCCTAGTTGATTCCCATGAGTGTCAGTAGCTGATCTTTGCTTAAAGATTCTAGCCCAAATCTTATCTTTTATAAATATCCAAGCCATACATAAGCCAAATGCATGAGTATGGGTATATGAGGAAATCTTGAAGCTATTGTGAGAGTAAAGGTTAAGAGAATTTGTTTTAGTATCACATGGAGGGAAATATGCATCATCTTGACATAATAAGAACAGAGTTATCTGCACAGCCCATCATACACTCTTACAATGAATATATCCTAAAATGAATGTGAGTGTACATTAAGATACAATTCTACAAATATCCTAACTGCTCATGTTCAGATGGTAAGGTGCTGTGATTAAACACCTGATAGGTCAGCTTCATCTGACACAGAAAAGAATTTAAAATTCTTCTCTATTTAATGGTAGGGCTTGAGGCAGCCTTACTTCTGATGTTAAGTTATATTAAATTCTTCCTAGTGGCATACTTGGTGCCTTGATGGAACAGTTTAAACAAGGGTACATGACCTGTATTTAAGTACAGTTTTACTCCCTTGTGAATACTGAAACACATCAGTGAATAGATCTGGAGTCTAATCTAGGTTTCTAAATACTGTTATCCAACAAAAAGAACCATAGCACCTTGGAGAAGTAGTGGTGTTAAGGGCAGGGCAAAGAATATACAAGATGAGCTTGGGTAATCTTTTGCGTTCGAAGGTACAGAAGCATGTAAAACTAAATTTAAAAAAATATTAAATGAAGCAAGTTGAAAAGACAGAGGATTAGCCAAACATTTGAACATCAGAATAAGTAACAGCAGTATTCTGTTGTAGCTCAGAGTCAAATACTTACAACGGTGAATGATACAGCAGTATAATAAATAGACATCTCTTTCACACAGACAAATTCTAATCAATGAGGTGATAGATTTATTAGTGAGATTTGGCCACTCTACAATACAACCATATCAGAATATCACATTGTAGTCTATAAATATGCATTATTTTATATTTGGCACTTTAAATTGAGATTAGGGGCCAGCAAAATGGCTTATTATGGGTAATGGGGCTTGCTGACAAGCCTGATGACTAGAGTTGAATCCCTGGAATCCACATGGTGGAAGGAAAGAACTGGTTTCAGTAAGTTCTCTTCTGGCATCCACATGTGTGCCATGGCATGCACATGTCTCCACACATAGATAAATAAACAAATATCCTTAAATGAATAAAAATAGAAATGAGGCTATGCTACAAAGGAAACATCTTACCCATTTAATTCTCTGATCTGACATGGTCTAAAATCTAAAAAAGAGTGCCCAAATGATTGTTTCCCTGATAGTTGCCAAAGCCGATGATGATGGGTGTCTGTAAGTGTTCTGCTTCTGCGTTGTTGTCTCTGCTCTGTCTTCTTCTGTGGATAACAATACACATGGACAGCATTCGTGTGTGCGGTAAAGACACAAGTGAAGTGCTTAGTATGACAGAATGGGATGTAGTAGCCTCTGGATTTAGCCAATCATGGATGGAAAAAACTCTGAGGAAAATGTCACCTTATTGTTCGTGGGTAGGCTTTACCTACAATTTTAAGTTATATTAAACCTAAGTAGATAGGCCTAGGAAAGTTGAATCTCTACTAAACTTGTACAAAGTGGAAGTGTGGGGGTTGTATGCAAGTACTGGCCATTTTATATAAGGGTCTGAACGTCCAGACGTTAGTACCCACTGTGGGCCTGGAACCAGTCCTCCAGAGATACTGAAGGGCAATTTTATATTCCATTCTGTCTTAGTAAATGGTAATGAGAAATCTTGAATTTCCCTATTTCATCTACTTGCTCACCCTTAATTCATTCCCTGTGTGCTGTTTATAGAAAGCTATAGGCTGTGAATGAAGAAAATTATCCTTCTTTCTATGAAGAAATATAAATGCCTTTTTTAAATGCCTTTTCATTGCCAATTCTTTAACACAGATTATTGTGTCAGGGAAGGATGTAAAGGTGTAATTAAACCTGGTTTCTGTTCCATGTATGCAGTGCAGCAGCGGGTTGCATCACCTCTCACAAGTGCTTAACTTTCTCCTGAAATAAGTCTTCCACATTGCATTACTAGGAAGACTTTTCAAGGAGCTTAGTTTACCAAGTAACATGTAACAAAGCACCTTTAAAAGACATAAAGACATGAACTGCACCTGTAGCTTTCCTTGCATGAATGAGGCCCTCACTACCATTTACTGAGTACACACTGTTTCAGTGGCATTATGTATTTTTCTACTTAAATCTTAACACACCCATCATGTTATCAAAAATACAATTTTGGAAGTGCTCCGCCAAAGGTTCTTGAATGTAGGCAGGTATGGTTCTGTGATAGTGTGGTGAGCCTGGCTGCCATTCAGTGTGGCTTTGATTGTTCCACAGAATCAGATAACTAGACAACATAAATGTCCATTTAGTATCACCTTTTTGTGACTGAACAAGTGCTTTCTCTGTCTAGATCTGTAAAGATTAGATTAGACTGGACTACCCAGACAGTGATTCTTCCCCAGTTCTTTCTGTCTTACTAAGAAGTAGACCTGTGAGCAACCTCGAGGCCACATACCAGGTTGTCTTCCCAACAGGCTTGTGCCATCTCTTCTTTGAGTTCATTTCACCAGGGTGTGGGGAAGTTACAAGTGAAACACTCTGTCTGGCTCCTTGTTAAGACACTGAAACCTTTATCTTGCTGCTTAGAGAGTATCTTCAGTTTACATATACTGAAAAACTCACCTGGCCATTGTTTAAAATGCACATGTTACTGTGCCTGCCTCAGGCTCTCCACCATCTTTCCCAGAGTTTGGATACATCTCTACATAGGAAAACAACCTTTTACTCTTCAAAGTATATTTAAGCATCTTTTTGTTGTTGTTTTATTTTTGTTTTCCGAGACAGGGTTTCTCTGTGTAGCCTTGGCTGTCCTGGACTTGCTTTGTAGACCAGGCTGGCCTCGAGCTCACAGAGATCCATCCACCTGTCTCTGCCTCCCTGAGTGCAGGGGTTAAAGGCATGCGACACTGCGCCTGGCTAGATTAAGCATCTTATTCTTAATTCATATTCTTAATTCATATTCATAGTTTTTCTAGAAGATTAGAAACATACATCTTTATGTGTGAGTTATAAGTGGCAGGAATAGCTAGTCATTGAGGTCCAATAAAGAAGACAAAGATTTCTGGTCATTTTGGAAAGTAGAATATAGGCTGAGGTGGTGTTATATTGTAAAGATGGACGTGGTTGACATCTCTTACTTCGTTTGTCTACATATGGTCCAGCAGGCATGTACTGAACCTGAGGCTTTTATTCCCATCTTTTCTCCTCTGAACCTTGTGCTCCTACTGGTTTTTCTGCGCCTTCTGTAGTTAGTTCCTTGTGACCTTTATCTCTTGAAGGCAATAGTGATAGTAATGGTTTCTCAGAAGCAGCACTGACATTTCACATCTGTACTCTGGGCATTTTATGTCTTTAATCTCATTGATCCTCACTACATCCTTTCTTGGCAAGTGGATTATTCTCACTAGTATAGATTTGGAAACCTAAGCTTCAGAGAATTAAAATACCTCTCCTATAACACTAGAGTTAGAAAGGACAAAACTCTTAAGTCAGTTCTAGTTTTCCCAAATTTTGTAGTTAGCATATGCTTCCATGAAGCAGCTGTGACATGGGTTACAATCGTTGCTGTGCCTGAGGCCTGCTTGTTCCTATGTTGGCAGGCTGAGAGAATATTTTCCCCAGGGTGCTAATGTGTGTTGTCTCATGGCACAAACAAAGCAGTAGTTTACATTAGGACATCGGCCCTCCTAACAGCTGCTGACTGGGTATACTTGTTATTGCAGCTCTACAGGCGGGGGAACCAAGATTCACAGGTGCTGACCCTGGTCCCAAAGCCAGTCTGTCTAGCAGTGGAGACTGGGGCCACTTCTCTTTGAGTCTTTGCTTAAGCTCCCGTGCAATGTATGCACTAGTAGAGAGCCAGATCCTCTTAGTTTCGAGACTCAAAGCACAAGAAAGTATGGGACATACTTAAATAACAGTAGGAATTTGTTTTTGAGTGTTATCAAAAAGGCAAACAGACATCTATGACACGGAAAGATTTTATGCGTGTGCACATGGAAGTCATTGAGTACAGTGTTCGCAGAGTGCATTCTAGGTATCAAAACTGTAAATTTTTTTGTCTGAGTTTTTAAGGAAAAAGGCTTACAGTTGTTTTGAAGTATAATGCCACTTCATTCCATAAATGAGTATGTAAGTGACAGTGGTGATGCGTGACATGTAGCCAGGCCATATGCTATCATTTGTTAATGAGATAATCAGATGGATATCTGCCTGTAGTATGATCTATGAATCAACATTTAAAGAGTTATTACTTACGAAATTCTCAGTGTCTCAAAAACTGATATATGTTGCTACTTAGTTGGGTTTTACTTATTTGCCTCTCCTAGAATATATAGAATAAAAAGTCAGTTAATAATCATCAAGCTACTTACATTTGACAATAATCAAATTCACAGTGGTTGTTCACACAAATAGGTATTTCAGGAAAAAAAAAAGCATGGTTTAGGAACTGGATGTTGTGACTCATTTCTATAGGTAAGCGCAACACTTGGGAGGACAAGGCAGGTAAATGATGAGTTCAAAGGAAGTCCTGACCACACAGTAAGATCCTGCACCAGAACAACAAAAACCGTTGTATAAGGTCAGTTTTCCAATCTCTCACATGTTCTGTTTGAGAAGAAAACTCAGTTCAGATATACACTTATTCAACAATGTTCATTATTTACTCTTAGCCTATCATTGTGATAACTAGTAGGGAAAATACCACCAGATGAATATCACCCTCCACTTTATAAATTGGATCATAGTGGTCCCACATTATAAAATTTATTACTGCGAAATGTAGTGTAGTTTGAGAGCAGAGATGAAAGTAACATTTATTTCCATCCCAATAGATTTCGGTTTTGGAAATTTCTTTAAAACTGGTGAACTGCTGGCAACATGGTGTGGCAGCCCCCCTTATGCAGCCCCAGAAGTCTTTGAAGGGCAGCAATATGAAGGACCACAGCTGGACATATGGGTATTGCTTTGCTTTGATATGTTAAATGTATCTCTCATGATCATTGGTACTCTGGCCCATCAGAAGCTCCCGGTACTCAGCACATAAGTAACATTTCATATTCTCCCCACTCAATGGACTACAGTTAATCAGAGCACCTGGAAATAGATCCTAGGAAAGATTTTCTAGAGATAGGTATTACCATCCTAAAACAGCAATGATTTGAAGTGACATTCTAAGCAAAATGATCAAAGTCAGACCATTTGGTATTTATTATACTTATTCTCGGGAGGTCAAGACTTTCAGTTTTTGAGAAAATAACAGTTTTGGCCAGGAATCCATCAATCCGTGTGATTTAAGAGCCATGGCAGTGTTTGGTAAATCAGTGTTTGAAGTACTTTCTGAAATGACTGCATCATTTTCTTCCCTAGAGTATGGGAGTTGTTCTTTATGTCCTTGTCTGTGGAGCTCTGCCTTTTGATGGACCAACTCTCCCTATTTTGAGGCAGAGGGTTTTGGAAGGAAGATTCCGGATACCATATTTCATGTCAGAAGGTAACAAGCTGTTCATCATATTAGCTGTGCATTACAGAATTTGTGCTGCATGAAAGTCCTAGCCAAAGTTTTCCTGCTGAGAGTTTGGTACCAGATAAAATGACTGAGTCATTTAAAAAGCCATGGAGCTCTGCAACACCACTCATATAGATGAGACAAGTTCCAGCCTTCCTCCTGTAACTGAGAACAGAATCTACCCAGATTAAGAGCAGCAAGTCTTCCCATTCAGCTTGAGCCTATAAATGTCCTGGTTTATTTTAGACTTACAGAAACAGTGCATAGATACAGGCTTACAACCATTTTACTCTGTGTATGAAATAGATTTTCAAAATAAAAAGTTTTTAAATTCAAGTCAACTGGCAGAACTCTGGTGAATTAAATTGAAATGCCGCAGTCCCTACCTGTCTTATTTTGGACTGTCATATGGACAGCAGTTTGATTTACTCTTTAGTTGTATGTTTAGTTTTCTTGGGAAAGCAAGGTCATGTAGGCTCTGGAGACTACCTGGATGGAATCCTGAGTTCACCACTCACTGGCCATGCAGTTTTGGCTCATCTGTGAAGTGGAGTTAACAATAGTTCCTACTCTAGAGCTGCTGTAAGGATGATTAAATTACTCTGCACAAAGCACTTGTCATAGTGCTTAGTGTGAGTGGCAGGAGGCCGAGGTGGAGGAGGGTAGTGAAGAGCTTGATGTCACTCATAACTGCAGCTGCAGTGTACTTAGTGTAATCAGAAGCAGATCTGCATACATGATCCTTGGCAGCACTGATGAGGAAAGCAGCAGCTTACTGGAAAGAGCATGCCGCTCACCGGCCTGGCTTTACTGAGCATGCCTCCATATGACTGCGGATCAGTTCATTATACTTGTTCTGGGAATGAAGCTTAGAATTTTATTTTCCTTAATGGAAATCTAGGTCTGTGACTAGTTTGAGAAATGCACTAGAAAGACTCTTTTAGCACACAGATAGACTTATACTCACCTGTGTTTCTTAAGTATTTGTTCTAAATCTAAACTTGACCAAAGTGTCATTCATGCATTCATTTGCTCCTTTGTTCTTCTGCTCTCTAGAGAAGGATACAAAGATTATTGTGCAAAATCACATGGTCCATGCAAGTATGTCTGAAAGTGATCTATGTGACTCTTTTAACACTGTGTTTTCCATAGATTGTGAACACCTTATTAGAAGGATGTTGGTCCTAGATCCTTCCAAGCGGCTAAGCATAGCTCAAATCAAGGAGCACAAGTGGATGCTCATAGAAGTTCCCATACAGAGGCCTATTCTCTATCCACAAGAACAGGAAAATGAGCCATCCATTGGGGAGTTTAATGAGCAGGTTCTGCGACTGATGCACAGCCTTGGGATTGATCAGCAGAAGACTATTGAGGTAAAGTGATGGAGATGTCTGCAGGTGTTTAGGGTTCTTCTGCATTTGCTATTTGAAGCTTCATGCTCACACCTATCGCCCTAGGCTTTTAGCATATATATCCTCAATGCCTGGGTGTACTGCTCAGGATTCCCTGACGATTACATCAGGCTTTTTATAGTTGCTATTAGTCAACCTCTAAACTCCTCCCTTTGCCCTATCTGCTCAAAAGTCCAAGAGGAGAATTTCAGAGGGCTGGAGCATGAAAACACAAGGTTGGGTGTAGCGGTGCGCACCTTCAACCCCACCACTCAGGGCCACGCAGATCCCTGAGGACTACAAAGCTGTGTATATGGGGCGAGACTAAGAGCTGAACCAAGAGTCAAAAGGAAGGCACCAGAAAGAAAGCCAGCGGTGTTCAGGAGAACCAGAGAAACTAAGGAGGCAGAGTAGTTGTGATTTGGGACATATTAATGGTCATAGAGCTAAGAAAGCTATAGAGCTGGAAATTTCCTTTTGACTTTTTTCTTTTTTCCTTTCCTCCTTCCTTAAGACTTTTAGAAATTATTTATTTTTATTTTATGTACATTGATGTTTTGCCTGAATGTGTGAGGGAGTTGGATTCCCTGGAGCACAGAATTACAGTTATGAGCTGCTATGTGGGTGCTAGGAATTGAACCTGGGTCCTCTAGAATAGAAGCCAATGCTCTTAACTGCTGAGCCATCTCTGAAGCCCCATTGGCTTTTTTTTTTCTATCTAGTAGTTAGCTTATAGACAGCACATCAGCCACACCAAAGCAGAACAGTGCCTTTAAAGAGTCTGTTTCTTGTCACCTGTTATAGCCATGAGCAAAACCAAACTTGCTGTCTCACATTATTCATTGGGCACTCAGTGATGTTTTCCCATGCTTATCCATGGAGTAGATCATGGATGGCAGCTTCTGTGGGTTCCCTCTGGCCTGAGGTTTTATTTTCCCTGAGGGTTTCATGGATCCATGTTGCCCAATACATCACCCAGTAGATGGTCAGGTGGGAACAGAAGCCCAAAGAGAAGTTGTTTCTCTGTTACATTGGCATTCTGGGAAATCTGGCGAACTGATGATGTGAAAAATTTGGGAAGCAAGTTTATTTTCAAGGTTTCCAAAGGGTTGGACTGCAAAAACAAGGGGAAAATATTACCTAAGAACGCAGACACAGTGTCTCTCCATCTACCATCCAGATGTCATTCTCCAGCCCAAAAAAAATCACCAGAAAGCTCCCCACAGGCTTTGTTCAGTCGCCAGAGCATTCAATGATTTGAACTTTGGCTGAAGCAGTGGAGTTAGAACTTTTGGGCCCAGGGAGTTGATCAACTTACACCTACTTACCACTGTAGATGGGATCACTTTATAGCACTGGCAAAGTCTACATAAGACAGTGGTGGCATTTTCTCTTAATGCAGAAAAATAAACAGATCTCTGGTAAAGGAATAGGACCAGTTATTTAAAGATGTTACCTTTGATTGAGTAATACTAGAGACCTAAAGTGTGTACCTTCCTATCTGAATTCTAGAAGGGGTTTTGTTGTGAGGTATACTTTGCTACTGTACTTCTTTTAAATTTGGTTTCTTCAAGACAGGGTTTCACTGTATAACTTCCTTGGCTGTCCTACAACTTGCTTTGTAGACCCCGCTGACCTCAAACTCACAGAGCTCTGCCTGCCTCTGCCTCCTGAATGCTGGGATTATAGGCATGTGCTACCATGCCTGGCCTGCTACTATGTATTTTTTAAGTACCTTAGTATCTAAAATTGTGTGAATGAAAATACACATCTAAAATTTTAAGGCAGAATTACTGTGGAAATGTATGTGAGTGGCTTTCAGAGGCTCATTTGGTCCTGTGCTGTTGGGCTGAGCATCATGGCAGCAGGAGCATGTGCCTGAGACTGTCCTTCACTTCTAGAAGACAGAGACAGAGAGAGAAGGTTGTGTGATTGTTGTTTTCAGGACACATGATCTACCTCTTTTAAAGAGGTGTAGATCCCTTAGTTGGTTTTTACAGTTCTTTGCCTTCAGCACCTGTTTTCTCTTTCAGTCTTTGCAAAACAAGAGCTATAATCACTTTGCTGCCATTTATTTCTTGTTGGTGGAACGTCTGAAATCACATAGGAGCAGTTTTCCTGTGGAGCAGAGACTTGATGGCCGCCAGCGCCGGCCTAGCACCATTGCTGAACAAACAGTTGCCAAGGTAACAGCCTATGTAGCCACTAGCCTCATTTGTCCATGTGCCTTTTTATGTTGGACACGTTTTTCATCACTTGGTACAAAAAGTCAGGATCTCATCCTCTATAGTTTTTTTTTCTAGAAAGTTTCTGCCACTATCATTCACTAGAGTCTCAAAACTTTTAACACCTTCCTCCTTTAAGAATTAACTTTATTTTCAGTTCTTTTCTTTAAGAGATACTTTATCATTTAATCATTTGCTAATATTGAGGATTAATGTAATCAGCCTGTACTTTCAGTTCATTAACAGAATGTTGTTACAGATTGATCACATACAAGCTGCTGTTATTAGGCACTCTAAGAGTTTGAATGCATGGAACACCATCATGGGTCTCAGAGCTGTATGATAAAAGCAAAATAAGATACAACCAGAATCATTCTTCACAACAGGAGGATGAGTCCTATTGAAGAGCAGAGGGCAAGGGAGAGAGGTTCATCTGAATAGGGAGTGCTTCATGGGAGAGATAGCACTTGAAACAGGACTTCATGAAGGTGTGAGACTTTGAGGAACATACAGTACTGAAGAAATTATGACCAGAATGACATGCACACAGATGAAGAAAAGTGTTCACATGGGCCATTATAGGCCTTGTTTCTCTTCATTCAGTTCATTTGAACTGAAGTCTTAGGAAATAAAAATTTGGAGTGGTAAGTGGAAGCCATATTGTGAAGAGCTCTAAATGCCAAGGATGACTTATAATTAAGGAAGTGATAATGAGCTTCTAAAGACCATAAGGTAGTTAGTCAGGGAGCACTGGAAAGGATGCTTAGTTAGGAAAGATCAGGGGGTTTGTTTAGTTTTTGTTTGTTTGTTTTGAGACAGGATCTCATTGGCTGGCCTCAAACTCACACAATCCACTTGCCTGTGCTTCCCAAGTACTGGGATTAAGGGCATGTGCCACCATTCTCAGCTGGGGAAGAACAGAAACTTTTGAAAAATACTTATGAGATTCTTACACTAACTGAGATGCAGAATGCTGAAGACTTAATGTGATAGAAACAGGGAGGAAGGGCCAAGAAAGGCAGATCTTGTGTAAACCTAGCTCAGACTTGGGAGGTGCAGCTCCACTCCGTGTTAAAAGCAGGACACCAGAGCACATCCCAGGCTCTGTGCCTCGCTTTACCTGTTGTGACACTAAGTGCTGCGACACGGTGAGTTGACCCCTGAGAATCACGGAAACAGTGCTGGCAGAGTTAGAAGCACATTTTTTTCGTTGTCCTCAAAGGCCTGAGGGCACAGTGGGGATATGGCTCAGTGCCAGGAGAGGGATATAGTCTGAGAGAGGCCTCAGACTCGTATGTGTAGAGGCTTGGAAAGGAGTGGGTTCTTCTAGTTAGGATGCCTTCAGCTTCTATAAGTAGTACTCCTAGTTGAATGGAATTACAGTGTACAAAACTATGAGATTTTTTTTTTCCTTTGGCTTCTACAGAACATACAAAGAGAGGGAGTTGAAAATTCTTGATTTTCTAACAGGTGAATTATATATTTTTCTTGAATATCTTAAAAATAATGTGGTAATGCAGATGTGAGCGAATATCAACATAGCTCCGGATATTTGGGTCATAGTATTTCTAAGCACTTGAGAAGCTTCAAAATTGAAAAACACTGCTTTTAAACAAGAGGGAGAAAAGAAACTCCTAATAGTGAGCTGTGGGGATGCCCTTCCTATGTACAAGTGTGGCCAAACAAAAGGATAGGAAGCAAGATGCCCCTAATGTGGTAACACACTTTCTCAGCTAAGCTTCTTTATTGTTAACCATCTCACACGTGAGAACTGCAAGGGGACACATCAGCAGTTTTCCCAAGCACGCGCACGCGTTACTGAACCAGATATCCTTTCCTATCTGCATGGTGAGCAGGTCCCTCAGGTATCTCAACCTGTATTTAATTTGGCTTAGAGTCCAGGTGTATAATATAAATGGCTTCTTTTGCTTGTTCACTTTGTTTTTCACTGCCAAACATGCACTGGCCCAAGTCAGCATCAAACTATGTATACTGTAACTTCAAATGTGTCTAGTTCTTCTAGAAGGCTTCCCAGCTCATGGCTGTATTATAGAAAGTGTTGAAAGTGCTGTCTGGGCCCTAAGAAGGAGGCCCCACAGCTGAAAAAAAACACTCCCTGCCCTCTGTGTTTTTGTGTTTCATGTTTAAAAGCTGATTCTTTGTTTATTTGGATGTGGATATGTTCAAAGTTTTAATTGAGCATCCTTGTTTTAAATCTTTGATCATTTTTGTTGTTGTTGTTGTTGTTTAAAGAGAGAGTAGATTGTTTGTTCCCTAACATTGTAATAAAACAAAACTGAGAAAACAGCATGATCTAATACAGAGATCATAAAAAACTATAGAATCATTCAGACCTTAAGTTCCATATACAGATGAGTGATTTTGCTCAGGTCAGCATTTCTGAGATCCCATGTTCATAAATATAAAAGGAAGATGGTTCTTGCTTAATAAGATTGCTATCCTGCCAGGTGGTGGTGGCACAAACCATTAATCCCAGCGCTTGGGAAGCGGGCAGATCTCTGGGTTTGAGGCTAGCCTGGTCTACATAGTGAGTTCCAGGAGAGCCAGGGCTACACAGAGAAATGTCTCAAAACAAACAAACAAAAAGATTGCTACCAAGATAAAACTAGTCAACCTGTGGCGGCAGCTGCATTCAGCAAAGTGCATCTCTCATCTGCAGGACAGTGTCACAGACACTGAGGCCCTTGAAATACCCAGGAGCCAACCCTTGCTCATAGGCAGTTGCCATTTAGTGATGGAGTGTCCATTGTTATTTTGTAGACCACAGTGAGCTGCTCACTGTAGGTAGGCAGTGAGTACTGTCTTTCACTTTTATATATCATTCCAGAAACTTTGCTACTGACCAGCTTCAGGCAACTATTTTGGAAAAGAAAGAAAACTCTCACCTTTTTCTCATAAACCCTAAATAATAGTTTTTAACAATCCTTCTACTTCAAGTTTGCATCAGCTGCAAGCAGACAAGAATGAAACATTTGTCTCTGTTCTTAGTTGCTGATTAGAGGTTGTTCCACAATCATAGGACAAAGCCTCACCTTGATTTGCTTGGGCTGCCATAGGAAAATGCCAGGTCAGCATTTACCTTCTCAAGGGTTCTAGAGGCTCAAAGCACAAGATCCACTGCCCTCGGTATGAGTTTCTAGCACAAGCTCTCTTCTAGGCTAGTGGATGGCTACCTCCTGTTGTGTCCTCTTAGGCTCCCCCCAACCCCATGGATTGTGAGGAGACCCCTGTGTCTTTTACTCATTTTAGGAGAATACCAGCCTGCTGTGTAGCAAAGGCTTGTAACTCGGGCCAGGAAGAATAACATAGTAACATTCTCCCATCACCTTTATAATTTGAGAATCCTGTTGTGTGTTGATATCCAAAAGGACATTTCAAATTTTTCAGTATACTTAAAATATACTTTATATAGGATATATTCTGCTATCATCGGATATACTGCATGAAAGAGAATAAAACAACAGCAAAGTTATCAGTAGTCAGTGGATGAGAAAAGGACATTGTTTTGCCCAGTGTTGAGGATTGAATCCAGGGCTTTTGTAGGTCCTTGTTAAATACTCAACCGTGCCATATCTCAGCTTCTGAAAGAAAATCACCTCGCACAGACTTGTAAAGCATATTGCTCTAGTTCCTAGGAAGTGTCACATCAAAATGTTACTCCTCAATTCAAGTTCACGGTCAATTTCTGTAGTCCAAGTCAAATGTAAAGATTGTTGAGGAGACCATGTGTGACAGTGTGCCTAGAATACTAGCACTATGGAGCCTGAGGCAGAATTAACGAAGTCAGTACCAGCTCGAACTCCAGAATAAGACCTTACCTCCAAAAGAAAAGAAAAGTATCAAGAAAAATGTTATGTGCTTAATCTGACACAGCTCAGTCTTCCATAAAGAATTTTAGGGAGACAGGATGGAGATAGAACAGCCCTTGTGATCAGATATGGGCATCTCGTTTCCAATGCAATATCTTCAGGCAAGGCTTTCCCCACTCTCAGATGGGCGGAACAGGCTAAGAAACTAGAAATTAAACTTTTCATGTTATCCTTTGATTTGAAAAGCTGGTGATGAGGTTAGAATGTATTAAATGTACTTTATTGAGAAATGAAAGTGTTGTGGGGTACCCATAGAGATTAAGCTGACTAATTCTTAAAAAAAGAAAAAAAAGTGCCCAAGATATAAGGCCAAAGAAAGATGATGGGAGAAAAGCTGACCTTTGTTGTGCTCAGGAAGTGTGCAGTGCTGTTTTCAGTGTTTCTCATCTACCGACTGTTGACAGCTTGCTGTTGTTTTGTTCTCTTTTTCATGCAGTATATCTGATAACATCAGAATATATCCTATATGAAGTCTATTTTAGGTGTACTCAGAATTTTGAAATGTTTATCAAGAACATACACCCTCCTTAAAAAAATGTCAATTTAGCTGAACGAGTTGCTGTACATCTCTAATCCCAGCAGTTGGGAGGCTTTCTGAGTCTCAGGCTGGCCTGGACAACACAGCAAGTTCCAAGGCTGCATGGAGAGAACCTGTCTCAAAAACAAAACCAAACAACAACAAAAATTAACTTAAAATTCCAACTGGAAGCCATGAGACACTGATTGGGACCAAAACTGCATTTGTCTTCCTGTCCAGTTGTTTTGTCCTTGGGGTCATTTTAAGAGTGGGAGGAAAAGTTTATGCTCCTAAGCTGAGGGCTTCACAGGCGTGTGCCAGCACACTTGGCTTTTCATAGTGTTACTGTTCAGCCTTAACTTCACAATGAAATGGATGTCACACCCATTTTTACAGGTAAAGAAAAGATTCAGAGAAAATTAGATTGCCTGATTAAAGTCATCATGCAATTAATAAGTGATAGATCCACAAATCAAAACCACGCCTTGAAAAAGAAATTAGAATTTCATATAGTTTTGTCCCTTTTGTTTAAATTTAAAAGTCATCACCCCATATCCCCTGTCAGAACTGTAGCAAGGAAAATAGAGGCCGTTCCTCTTCCTGTGGGAGTCTGATATGGCAATTGTCCCCCCAGATGTCTCACAGTTTCTGTTATGTTCAAAGCACATATAAGAAATGATTATGCCAGGTTTTTGTTATTGTTGTTGTTTGGATAGTTGGTCAGGATTTCTCTGTGTAGCCATGGCTGTCCTGGACTTGCTTTAGAGACCAGGCTGGCCTCGAACTCACAGAGATCCACCTCTGCTCTCTGGGTACGGGGATTACAAGTGTGTGCCACCACACCCCGCTGATTCTGTCAGTTTTTAAGGGCTGTGAACAGAAGGGTCACCCAGGAGCTCCATCATTAAAATCAGTCAACACCAACTGTCAAAATGAAAGACTTTTAAATGATTTTTTAAAAGAGAGTTGATCCTTGTTTACTTAAAGCACTTAACAAAGGAGACAGGAGAATGGAATGAACTATCCGAGGAAGCCAAGTGTGGAAGCGCATGCCTGTCATCCCAGCACTTAAGAGGTACAAGCAGTAGGTCCAGAGCTCATAAGAAAGAAAACCAGAAATAGACCTGAGCTCTGTGTAGCAGGCTGGTTTTAGGAACAGAGCAATGCAGCAATGAGCATTTCTCCGACTGCTCCAACAAGCTGCATTCAGACTGCATCTTCTCAGAGGAAAGGGACCTTCCTGTCACCCTGAATAACCACTTCTCTCTTCTTCCTCTTATGGGGAGGGGAAGTAAGAAAAGGCAATTTACTTTATGTACCTTTTATTGTACTGGCTGTGGGGCTTGTGTATATCTGGACCTGGCTTGAGCTCCTTAAGGCTGGGCGATTTCTTTTTCATATTTTTCTAAGTAGCATATGTAAAGAAAGAAAAAAATAAGTTTATTGAATTGAGACAAAGACCATTCTTTGATTCCTTACAAAGGCTATCTTGTTGCCTATGTGAAAGGTATATCATTATGAGACTGGAACCAAATTCTGTCCAGTTTATGTGAGAATGTTTGACTAGTGAGACCTCGTGATTCAGTGCTTACTGTGCGTGTGCACACACATACACACATGTCTCTTCAGGAGTTCTAGCAAATAATTCTTTATCTTTCATTGCCTCAGGAAGGTTCACTTGGTTCTAGGAGCAGTGTGCATATGTATAGAAAAAGTAATAATGTTCCTACACTGTCTGTTCTTACCATATTTTCAGGCACAGACTGTGGGGCTCCCAGTGACCTTGCATTCACCGAACGTGAGACTGATGCGATCTACCCTCCTCCCACAGGCATCCAATGTGGAGGCCTTTTCATTTCCAACATCCAGCTGTCAAGCAGAAGCTGCTTTTATGGAAGAAGAGTGTGTTGATACTCCAAAGGTAAGGGTGGTGTGTTTGAGACACAGTGGAGAGTGGCTGGAGACTTCAATGTGAGGGACAGACCTCAGTTGTAGCATGGTTTTGCTTTGTTGAAGAACTTCATCAAAATGTTCAGAGATCAGCTCTCATCATTTAAGTAACAACTCCAGGCCACATAAGCCCTCTACTTTTTCCTTCCCTAACCAGATCCTGTTTTCTCCCAAGTTTTAAGATTCTTCATAAATGTTTGGGTGCATGAGTTGGTGGGTAGGTTGGTTGACTCTTAATTATAATTTTAAAAACAAAAAGTTACCTATTGTACTGAATTAGACTTTGTTATTGTTGCCTCTCTTCTATGCAGCAGACTAAAATTACAAAGTGATAGGATTTTGATCGAATAAACATCCTTTTAGGTCCACCTTGGACATGCTTAAAGGGTTTAGTTTGTACTTGGTGTGTTGCATAAACTTGGCTGTTAGGAAATGGAAAGTGACTGCTGCTTTATTGCAGTAGATCCTTTTTGAATGCTAATGTAAGTGGTATATACTCAGTACCAAGTGCTATACGGATGATCATATTCATAAGAAACAGTGTCATAAAAGAACGTAAGTCTTAAAAAAAAAAGAATGTAAGTCTTGGGGTATGTTCAAACTGCTCTTTACTGTGTTAATTTGGGCAAGATGATTTTCATTTTGCTCAGTATAAAACTATATTTTATATCCCCATGTTAGGAGACCGTTGTGAGAATTAAGTAAGATAGTCTGTGGGTTTTGGTAGATTTTAAATAGTCAACAAATACTGTTTTACCATGTTTTAGCCTCCTTAGGTAACAAAAACATGAATCATACATGAGCTTACCTAACAGCCTGCTAGACTGTGGTCTAACAAAAAGAATATTATATGGAACTAAATGCCAATTGCTGAATAAATTGATGAAGTGTTACATAATGAGATGTAAGTCAAAGTGAACCTAGAAAGAGGCAGGGGGAATTGATTTTGTACTTGATCAGGAAATTTGGGGGTAACCACCAAAGCTGGAGTTGCAAAGTGGAGCAGAATCCTTGTGGCTACAAACTAGGACAGGATATCTTCAGTGGAAAGTTACTGTAGGTAATCAGGTCCATTTAAATCAGAGCAGTTGTCCTGTTTGAAGGAAAGGGCATGTAAAGGAAACTTCAGACATAAAGGTGCAGATGTTAGCCTTGAACAGCAAGCAAGCAATTTAGTTCTCTGGGCAAGGTTCTAGGTGTGGGATGTGGTATCAGGCGAGACAGCTGATATGATATTCACACACCAACTGAAGATTTCTGAACAAGGAAACACTGTATGCATGCTGTTCTCGGGAACCTTGCCTGAATATTCCTCTAGCAGACACAGGCTAGAGAACGAGGAAAATGGGAGGTTAAGCTTGGGTCCAGGAGGGAGATGATGCAGGGCCTGAAATATGGAAATAGTCATAGAATAGGAAAGGAGGGGCATTGAGTGGCTAGAACTCCAAGCCCATAACAAGGTTTTGAGCCTAGACAAATGCGATGGTAAATGCCGTTCAGTTGAGACCTCTGGGTGTCAGGCAGATTCTCTTGTTGCATGGGCTTAGTGGAGCACAGTGGCAGCTCCATGCCAGACTGTCACAGCAGGTTGTCAGCCAAGTTGCTGAACAGGAATAGTTACTGTCCAGCCCTTAAGATGAGTCTACTTCCTTTGGACAGTTTGCTTTCTCTGCCTGTGTGTGCATTACACATTAGTGATACATTCATGCTCAGCATTTAGACATAAATTAGGGCAACATAATTTGTTCTTAAGATCTAATTCTCTTGAAGAAATTAAAATGCAGTGTGTTGAAGTCTTGTCTGTAAGGGCACCAGGCCCAAAACACAGATTGGGCACTGTCTGCTATAATATATAGGGCAAGCTATTTTTAAAGCTTGTGATTGTTACAGTTACTAGGAAACAGACAGGAAATGAATGGTTTGCAAGATATAGACAGTTGCTAGATGGTATGTATAGTCACATTTGTAGGAATAAGAGTGTCAGACTGGAGCTGGCCCCCAAACTGCATTGCCACCCTGAAATTGAGGATAGCCCATAGACACCCACAGGATCATTTTGTCATGTACTTCCAACCACCTTTCTCTGTGGCCCGTAAAGAAATGCGTACAGCGAAGAACCTCAGTTCCTTTGTTCGTATTGCTTTGCATACATTCTCCACAACCCAGTTGTTTCCTGAAAGACACATCATGGTTGTATGTCTTGCTACTTACAATCAAGGATTAGTAGTGTACATTTAAAAACAGATCACTTCTCCTTCCCTTAACTTTTAGTAAACTCCCTTAAGGAGTCTGACTTGAAACTTTGGCTTGGGTTTCTAGGGCAGGAGGGGAAGCGTCTTTCTGAGCAGTAACGGAGACCCTAAGGACATAGGGTGGGAGGACAGTTGCACAAAGTATGTGAAGTAAATTTCCCATGTACACACATTTCAGTCCATTTTCAATACTATTAAAGACTATAATAAAGATTTCCAAGTTCACACCTTCACTAGCTGCCTGAAAAATCAAGTGTAGTGGAGACATTTCGTGTATAACACCTTGATAACTGCATTGTGAAAGTGATACACATGACAGAAGGTTGGAAGAGCAGACACAGCGGACTCAGAGTGGGGTCTTCTCGAGACTTCACCTTCACTCTGAATTCAAATAGTTTAATTATAATTTGAAATAAATAAAACCAATCATCATCATGCATGACAATATAAAGGGAATAAAGGTAAACTTAATTTAGCTATAATCTCATTACTCAAAGATAACCTATTTGATGCCATACTATAAGCTGGTAGGGAAAGCTGGTAGGGTAAGTTCAGTGGGTGGGAAGAGCCTTAAAATTAGTTTCTGTTATGTGTAATTTTGTATCTTCTCTATCTAACAATGTGTCATGAGAATTTTTTCCATGTCATGAAGTTGTCTTTGCAAGCATAAGCTTTAACAATTATGTAATCCATTGCTTTATACAAGTCTTTATTTAACTACTCACCTCTTGTTGAACACAGTTATTTCCCTTTTCTTGCACCCTTAAATAGGCTTTGGTAAACAATTTTATGTCTGAGTGTATAAATTTCCAAGCTAAGTGTGAGGGTTCACATGGAGCCAGCACTAAATAGAAGGAGGCAAGAGAACAGAAGTACAGAGGTGCCCTTGGCTACATAGCAACACATCATCTTTAAAGAGAAGAATTCTCTAGTGTTGTTGGCAGTTCGTTCCTTCCTTCTTCTCCTGTTTAATTTTCCTCAAGGCAGAGGGACAATGTAATTGTTTTAAGTGTTGTAGTATTGCTCTTAATGCATTTGTATTGAAGAGCATTCCCCTTTGTTAAAAAATAGCAGCAAAGTATATTGAGTTGGAAAGGAACTATAGTTTTTCTGAATTGTATTAGTTGATTCTCTCAACACTTTACAACTATTTTACAAATGGGGAACTAAAAAAGAGCTTGGGTAGAGCCTAAGCAACTAACTTGTAGGGATGTAATGTAAGCTTAGGTTTGAGCTACAGCACCTGCTCAATATGTCCATTTTGCCAGGCACATGGAATGCAATTAAATAAGATCCACTTCTCACCTCCAAACTCATTGTCTTATATTATGTGTAGTGTACTATATGAACCTACTCACCTACCCACAAAATGCCATAGGCTGAGTAATTTAGACAGGAGAAATTCTGTTTCTTGTAGCTCTGGAGGCCAGAGGGCAAGATAGAGTTAGTTCAAGCTGGTTCTGTTTCTTATGACATCATCTTTTCTCCTGTATTTTAGACAGCCACCTCCTCACTCTGTCTTGAGACATTACACAACCTTTTTCATGTACCCATGGAACAACTGGGAACAAGCTCCCTGATGTCTATCCTTCTGGCCTCAGACACTTAACCCTCCTGCCTTGGCCTCTTGGGTGCTGGGATTATAGGTGTGCCCCTCCACACCTGGCTTAGTGTGTCCTTTTTATTTTGTTTTTAAAAGATGTATTATACCTTTAATTATGGGGGGGGGTGTTTATCTCTGTGGGTATGTGCACGTGGATGTTGTACCCACAGAGGCCAGAGGTGTCAGATCTCCTAGAGCTGCAGTCACAGGCAGCAGTAAGCCTCTTAACATGAATGCCGAGAGCCAAACTTGGGTCATCTGCAAGAGCATCAGTGTCCACCTTAACTGCTGGTCTGTCTCTCCAGCCCCTAGTATGTCTTTTATTATAAAGATACTAATCATATTAGGTCAGGCCTTCACTCACATATAGGTCCCATCTCCAAATACAGCCACCTTGGGAATTTAAAGAGGCAGGCTCGGCGGCTTTCTCAGTCAATGCTGGGGCCTCAGAGGACTTTGAGTGCCCTGCACATACCACCTACTGCATATGAGGTCTCTGAAAGACTTAAGTGTTACAAATTATACATTTTGCACACATCTTGAAATCCTGTCATTTAATCTGTCTAGAGTATTTCTAGAGCACAGATTCTTATTTCTAGCAGCTTATGTCATTTATGTAGATTACCCAAAATTTTAGTCATACGTCCTTATAAACTGTCTTAGTAGATGGTTAAGGAGCTTGAAAGTGTGAGTTTTTGGTCATTCTTTCTTATAAGAAGACAGTGAGATACACTAAAAGGGAAACTTATCTGGGTTGGGTCCTTTTCTATTGAATTCCTTGTTAATTTAGCATTGGTGCTGTTCTTGTCTTTTGTCAGCTTTCACAAGATCAAGTCATCTGGTAAGAGGGAACCTCAACTGAAAATGCCTGCACCAGATTGGCCTTTGGGATATTTTTCTTATTAATGATTGATGGAGGAGGGCGTAGTTCAGGAGAGGCAGCCCTAACCCTGGGCAAGGTGGTCCTGGGTGTTATAAACAAGCAGGCTGAACAAGCCGTGGGGAGCAAACCAGTAAGCAGCACTCCTCTATCTTCTGCTTCAGTTCCTTCCTGCCTTCAAGTTCAGGCCTTGGCTTCCCTCATTGTACTGTGCCTGGGATAGCAAAATAAACTCTTTCCTCCCCAACTTAATTAGGTCATGTTGTTTTATCACAGCAATAGAAACCCTAGCTATGCATGATGGTCAGCTGCTTCAGGAAACCTGTGGTCAAAGGTGTTCACCCATGTCAACACTGGGCCACCCTACGGGACTTTCTTACTCATTATCCAGCCCCTAAGTGTTGTTTTCTGACTGTGCCCAGATGAAAACTCAGACCAGTGAAAAACCATTGTTTTATACCTGGCATAGATTTAATTCAGACATAACTCCTTTTCTAGTTTAATTGAGATAAGATTATAAGGTGACAGTTTAAGATTATAAACTCACAGAAAAATGGTTTAAATAACTCAGGGAAGATGACCTCTAAATTAAGGAAATGTAAAGAGCCTGCTCATATTGTTTATGCTGCAATTTTGACAGAGGCTGCACTTGTAAGGGTGTTCAGTACATAATTGCTTTTAAAAGTCTTGGGAGCCTTAGCAAGCTGCTCTTACTAGACAGATAAGGAGTCTAGAATGAATGTTGTTGGTCAGTATTTCCTGTAAGAGAACTATAAAATACAAAGGAGATTCTTGTCTGGGACTGGGCCAAGAATACAATGACAGCTGCTGGCCCAATTTCAGATTCCTGTTTTCTGTGCCACGGGAGGATTTGGTGTGGTCTAGGAAGAAAGCATCTGCCACGTAGCAACTACCTTACCAACATGCAGGCTCCAGCCCCAGATGCTTGTGGAATCAGCTCCTCCAAGCAAACAGAGCTCTGAGTCACTCTACTCCCTCTCCAAAGAAAGGGCCTTGCAGTGCCTTCAGCAACTGCTGTAGGAGGAAAGTCTCCTGTGCCTGGCACAGGGCAGTCTCACGTCACTTCTCACATACATGAGCTGCCCCTGCTTCAGTGGAAACAATAGCTCTACCCAGTGTGTTCCAATTGAAAGTACCACAGAGAACCAACTCCTCTGCTGGCTGCTCCTGAGCAGCTATTCATTGGAGAAAACAAGATTGATTTTCACAGGGGAATAGTTAAAGTAATGAGGTAAATAATTGCCTGTTCTTTGGGGCTTTTACCAGCCAGAACTTGAAACCACAACTCCCCTTTGTATGCTGTTTTGCTGGCCATTAGGTGGTTTGCTTGGCAACTGTGTGGGAAGGCGGTGTGCTTTTTCAGGGCCTGTGCGGAGCTCCCTGTGGGACAGGCGCCGTGGATGTTGTGTGAACTGCTGAAGGATGAGGATTCCATGCAGTGGGGCTCACCAACCTCTGCTAGAATTTTGAGCCATGAGTCATTTGTTATTCTATAATGGAAGGTTTTGGCTGTTCGCCATTTGAATATTTTTTTCAATGCTTTTTGTGATATCTGTCTACAACAAATTCTTACTTTCCATTCCTGTGCACATTAGAACCAGTTTAAAAACAGAATATCAAATAGGTCAGTACTTGTTCTGAACATGAAAGTATATCCAGAACTGGTATGTTTTATGGTTGAAAATTAGAATATCAGTCAGTGACTACTCTTTTAGCTATGAGACATTTGCTTTATGAGGAAAAAATAAAAAGCTCATCTTCTTCTGTTTCCCTTATTTAAAAAATAATAACTGGTAAGCCTCAAGCCAGTACATCCCTGTTCACCTTAAAGCACTAAAAACGTGTTTATTATAACAGTGATGACTCAGTAACCTGCCAATTTGGGTCCTCCTGGACTTCTGTCTCTGAATGCTGTAGTTGACTTACCTTCCTTTCTAATGTGTGTCCTGTCATTGTTACTTGATTTCTCACTGGCCTTAAGTCATGGCCTGTTTCTCTGCTGTTTCTGCCATTTCTCAGAAGAGCAGCAGCTGATCTGTCCGCTTACACTGACAGGTGAATGGCTGTCTGCTTGACCCTGTGCCGCCTGTCCTGGTGAGGAAGGGGTGCCAGTCACTGCCCAGCAATATGATGGAGACCTCCATTGATGAAGGCTTGGAGACCGAAGGAGAGGCTGAAGAAGACCCCAGTCAGGCCTTTGAAGCCTTCCAGGCCACACGCAGTGGGCAGCGACGGCACACTCTGTCAGAAGTGACTAACCAATTGGTTGTGATGCCTGGAGCAGGTATGATATTAGAGAAGCACCAAGCTAAACTCCTACAGCATCATTTCATACTTCAGGCATCCAGAAATAGTGGTCATGCTAACTACCTTCTGGAACTTCATCCATTCCCCATGGAGCACATGTCATGGACTGTGGATTAGGTCCATTCAGCAGCTACAGAGACAAAAATGTCTCTGAGTTGATTCCCTCCACTCCAGGATTCCTTGGATACAGTGTACTCCCTAAGGGATTGTGGCTCTCTTCAAGGGCCAAGATCTTATGGCTGTAGCTTCTGTAGTGTTATTGTGATGGTTAAACTAGCCAGTGAAAGCATTCTGGAAAGATGGAGGATTGTTTGTGGTGCTGGGGAGTGAGCTGCAGGCCTTGTGCATGTTAGGCAACTCTTCTAGCCCTGAGTTGCACTTAGGATCCCCGGCCCTGAAAATAACTTTTCTTTTGGATGAGTTTTCTGTGTTCCAGACTCATGAGTACTGTAGTCCTCTCACCTTTCCTCTTAAAAGATTGGGGCTGTCATGACTAGAACCCACCATTTTGTCTTGCTTTTTGTCCATGTGTTTAAAGAAGATGCTATTGTTTGGAGTAATATGTTTTTGTTTTGTTTTGTTTTTTCTTATAGGGAAAATTTTCTCGATGAGTGACAACCCCTCCCTTGACAGTGTGGACTCTGAGTATGATATGGGGTCTACCCAGAGAGACCTGAACTTTCTGGAAGACAGCCCTTCCCTGAAGGACATCATGTTAGCCAATCAGCCATCACCCCGCATGACATCTCCTTTCATGAGTCTCAGACCTACCAACCCAGCCATGCAGGCTCTGAGCTCACAGAAGCGTGAGGCCCACAACCGGTCCCCTGTGAGCTTCCGAGAAGGCCGCAGAGCATCGGATACTTCCCTTACACAAGGCAAGGACTTTCTTTCCTAGCTTCAGAAAGTTCAGTCAGCTATGGAAGAGGGCTCTTGCCTTGCTGGTGTGATAACTAAGAAGCCTCCTTTGCTCCTTAAACTGTTTTATGTTTGTACTTTGCAGGGATCGTAGCATTTAGACAACATCTTCAGAATCTTGCTAGAACCAAAGGAATTCTGGAGTTGAACAAAGTACAATTGCTCTATGAACAAATAGGATCAGAGGTAGACTCTAACTTAACATCAACTGCTCCTCAGCTTCAAGACCTTTCAAGCACTTGCCCTCAGGTGAGTGCACAGGCTCTTCCGAACACCACGTTTGTCCTATAGATGTGTGCTTTTCAGTTAGAGAGCTTCCTCCTAATCCTAACTAAACTGGCTTTCTGGGAAAGCCCACAGTCTCAGGTTTTCTTGCTGCTGCCATTAACAGCTTAAACCCAGCCATGCTGCTCCCAGATGCTCAGCCCCAGATAGAGGCCTACAGGCTCAATCTAGTTTGGGTCCACAAAGCTTGCAGATTATATATGGATGACTCTCTGTCTCCCTTGACTACACACACACACACACACACACACACACACATACATATGATAATGAACATCACCTAGTAAGACGCTTCTTGTCACTACTTTAAAAATCACTATTAAATATGAGGGTTAGTCACATTAAAAATACAATAAACATTGCTATATCATGAGCCAATGTTAAATGCATCAAAGATGCTATTGTATTCTGGGCCTATATATAGGCAAGCACCTTCTGGTACCAGGCAGGAGCTTTTGTTCTAATTCCGATACTGATGAGCTAATGGTTGAGTTCAGATAACATTATAGGCTCTCTGAAAAGCAGCCTTCAACCTGCTAGGTTGAAGTAAGCAGCTAGTTAGGTAAAAGCTTCTGAGTGTTAGGTCATGTAGAGTCTGGGTTCCACTCAGTCATTTGCATAGGTGCTTAAACTATGAATTGAAACTTTCTCACATAGAAATTGAAATGTCCATTCCCTTGATCCTCAGGAGGAAGTCTCTCGGCAGCAGGAAAGTGTCTCCACCCTCTCTGCCAGCATGCATCCTCAGCTTTCTCCGCAGCAAAGCTTAGAAACCCAGTACCTACAGCACCGACTCCAGGTGGGCTCCTTAACTTTCTTATCTAGCTCACTTTGTTATAGAAACCTGTTTTTGCATTATTTAAGTTAGATGCTTTATTCCATACAGGCAGGTAGATCCTGTATTAGTAGCTTCTAGAAACATGTTCAGACTTAGCCTTATGCCGTATGTTGGCCGTAGGGAAGGGTATGCCACTGAGTGCTGGGAAAGAGAGAGCTGGCTTACTTCTAATCTTATATTTGTACATGATAAGATGGGGATCTGTGTTACCAAGGCTGTCTACACTGGAGCATGAAGATCCTAAGAAATGATGTGACATAGATTGCTTTCTGAATGAGTCATTTAGCAGGCACTGGGCCTTCTGTCAAGAACTAAGTCTGCTTTTCTTGCTGTTCTCCATGAACCTCCTAGGCCTGGAGGAATTTTAAAAGTGGAAAAAGGTAGGCAAGAACTAGATGTGCAGGCCTGCTGACCTGATGCTCTTCTGGGGTCTCAGTGTGCAAGTGTCAGGGCTTTCACTCAGGGTTCTGGTGGCCACATCTGGATACACTATCCAGAGAGGCATCCAAAGGGTGATGATGCTATCACCTGAGCTACATCCTAGGTGATAGCTCTGGTTAGGCTCTTACTGTTCTTCTGACCTTCTAGAAGCCCAGTCTTCTGCCAAAGGCCCAGAATACTTGTCCAATATATTGTAAAGAACCACCTCGGAGCCTGGAACAGCAGCTACAGGAACATAGGTAAGGAAGTCTTTGCCCAGTAAAGTCAGTTATTTTCATGGCAGCCTGGAGAATCTGGTGTCTTGTCCTTTGCCATTCTAGTTGCTTCTACTAGGACCATGCACTGGCACATGGTTGTCGTCTGTTCAAGCCTGGTGCTAATGAGGCTGTTGAAAATCCTAGAGTATGAGCTGGTCAGGTGGCAGCAGCCCCTACATGCTCTGCATATGATCAGCCCTAAGCTGTCAGAAGCAGGGGCCGGAGGCAGTCAGTTACACTGGTGAGGCTTTCCCCTTGGTGGTGTGCATGCCTGCTGGTCCCACCAGTAGAAGCTGCTTGGCCAAGATGAAACTGTCCTAGTCATCATTCTGCCTAGAGATTCTAGAGAAGCCAAGATATCTCTTTCTGAGCAGTCTTCATAGTACTTAGGAAAGAAAATCCATCGGTGCTCACTTACCTCAGAGGGGTCAGTTAGGTAGGGACAAAGCCCACAGTGGTGAACTCCCCTACTCAGATTTTATCTCCTTGCATAGAAGAGAGAGAAATAGTGGGTGGGGGTGTCAGGTGTGGTGGTGCACACCTGGGATCCCCAGCACTCCAGAGACTAAGACAGGAGGATCACTAAGTTGAGGCCAGTCTGGACTACAATATAGGATTCTCAGAAATAAAACAGGAAAGAGGGGGAAATGGAGTTTATGCCTGGTATTGAATTTACTTTGAAATGACATTCACTGGAGATGTAAAATGTTCATTTGCCAATCTAGGCTCCAGCAGAAGCGCCTCTTCCTCCAGAAGCAGTCTCAGCTGCAAGCGTATTTTAATCAGATGCAGATAGCAGAGAGCTCCTACCCTCGACCAAGTCAGCAGCTGGCTCTTCCCCACCAGGAGACTCCACCACCATCCCCGCAGCCCCCACCTTTCAGCCTGACCCAGGCCCTGAGTCCAGTCCTCGAGCCCTCTTCTGAGCAGATGCAATTTAGCCCTTTCCTCAGTCAGTACCCAGAGATGCATTTGCAGCCCCTGTCCGCCACATCCAGCCCCCGGGCTCCACCTTCCTTACCCTCACAATTGCAGCAACAGCAACAGCAGCAACCCCCACCCCCACCCCCACCTCCTCCACCACAGCAGCCAGGAGCTGCTCCAGCCTCCTTACAGTTCTCCTACCAGACTTGTGAGCTGCCAAGCACCACTTCTTCTGCACCAGACTATCCTACTCCCTGTCACTATCCCGTGGACGGAGCCCAGCAGAGCAACCTCACAGGCGCAGACTGCGCCAGGAGCTCAGGACTTCCGGAGACCCCATCTAGCTATGACCCGCTGGCCCTCTCTGAGCTCCCTGGACTCTTTGATTGTGAAATGCTAGAAGCTGTGGATCCACAACACAATGGGTATGTCCTGGTGAATTAATCTCAGCACAGGAAGTGAGGTGACTCTAGTGAAGGCAGACTGTGTATTTTTATTTTTATTACAGCCCTTTAAATTTAAAGCTTATTTTTCCCCTTTTCCCTAGTGGGAAAATCAAGTTTCCCAACTGGAATCAGGGTTTGACGGGGGTAGATGTTCCTGTTGGCTCTGTTCCACCACAGAGTTTTCTGTGGGGAGGGCTAGAATACAGTTGGAGGTTGAAATGCATGCCCTTAGGTGAAATGGAACAAGCTCTCAAGGGAGGTACCAAGTGTTTGCATAAAATGACAGCATATATCCAAAGGTTCATTTACCTTGGTAAAAGCAGGAAAAATGTGTATGTTGTTTATACACATGGAGGGGAAAAAGGCAATTTATTTCACTAAAGTCAAGCAACAGCACAGTGCTTCAAGGCATGTTAGGAAAGATCCAGGGAAGAGAGGAACGTTGTGTGTTGTCACAAAGTCCTAAATTCTTGACTGTTGGTGCAGGATGTCCTCCAGACCATCACAAAGTAGCAGAGCCTCAGCTGTGTGTCAGGGACCCTACAGTAGCAGCTGGTACTGACCTCCTGAACCCTGCAGTCGTGTCTGGGAGCACGCAATAATGCCTTTCAAAAGTGCCCCTGAACTGCCGAGCGTTAGAATGCTCAGGGCTCCAGCTCTCACCTGTAGAAACAACAGGAGACCTGTCCCAGTGGAGGCTGGAGCAGAAACCAGAAAGCGTCAGGAACTCAGGCCCTGAGCTAGGAAGCCAGGCTCTTCCTGCACAACCTCCAGTCTTGGAAGACTTCCTGTCTGCTCCACTGCAGTGGTACCTTTGTCTCTCTACTGTGCTGGGAGCTTATGGAGCTTTGTACATTGGGGCAGTTTCATAGAGGGTTTAGAATTTTTTTTAAGTACATATAAAAAAAAAAAAAAACAAAAACAAAAAAAACCACCGAACCTTTATGTCCCATGTGAAGTGGTAGTGTGTACCTTCCCCCACTTTGTCAAACTTTCTTCTCTGTAGAAACCAAGTTTTCCATTTATGTACTTGCTAAGTCACTTTAGTTTATTTTCCACCATGTGGGAGTCAGAATCCTAATTTCCTTAGTTTTGATTTGTATGAAATGTTCAAGTATTATAGCAATATTCAAAGAACCATAGCTGGGTTAGCCGTTTACTAGAAAAGCTTAACCATTAATTCACTCATCAGAGGAAATGAAAAATAGATGCTATAGCTAGTCAACTGGATATCTAGAAGTAATTAGTTATCTGTCATTTGCACAGTGACATCCAAGTGTTAAAAACTCAGTATTATTTATAAAAATTGTAATTTCTATCCTTTAGAGTGGCTTGTCCTATCAGCAGATGAATGCACTAAGCACAAAGCGTCTTCCTTAAAGCACAAGAAGAGAGCTACTACACTGATGCTGCATCTAGAAACACCTATAAGTTGCCTTTCCTCTCTGTAGTGTCCAGGCAGGCAAGGGAAGACTAGGCACGGGAAGTCTACAGAGCACCATCCTGGGCCCAGCCCAGCCCAGCCCAGCCCCTGCCAATGTTGGTGACTCAAAGCAGTCTTTGAGGCTGGCCAGAGACTGTAGTTGCTGGGCTCCCCATTGGTGCCAGGCTGCTTTGAAAATGCACTCTGCTTGGAATTGGGCTGTGGGTTACAGCAGGAATGGATAGCAGAAGGGTTTGCCATTTTTGTGATGTAATAACTGAAAATATCCAGTAAGGATAAATTGCATTTCTTTTATTGATTGTGTTTCTCCTCATGCTTAAGATCGATGATTTTGTGAGGTAAAGAACATTTCATTTGAGAGAGCATTTCATTAAGATCTCTAATGTGTTTTAAAGCTTTGCAAAATAAGCCAAGTTATAAAACGGGGCTTGATTTGTTTAGGCTGGAGGAGGATGTTTTCCTAAAATTTACTGCAGAAGTGCTGTAATATTGATGAAATGAAACGCCTTCCAGATTGAAAATGGGGGGCTGCTCATTTCAGGAATGCAGGAACAGACCGCTACAGATTGGCCTAAACCCCTGCCCCCCCACCAGGGCTGTGAGCTGCTTAGCCCAAGAGACCTAGCAGCTATGGCAGGACAGTTAGGCGACAGATGAGGGCTGCGGAGAGAGGCTGTCAAGTTAAAGGCTGCAGAGAGAAACCAGGAACGATGATCAGCTGCCAGACCTGTTAGGCACTGACCCAGAGAGGAGGTGAGGACAATCGCCTGGTGAAGAACATGAACCATCCTGCCGGAACTTGTCGTAAGCTCCTGTTTGCTCCTCACTTCTTTCAAGTAGAAATTGTAATTCCATGGCTACCTTTATTTCCCGAGATGGAAGCTGGTGAGAGCAGATGGGCTCTGGTGTTCAGCTCATCTGATTGCTTCTGTTGCTGTCCCCTAACTAGTGACCCGTGGAAGCTTCCAAGCCGTTTCTCTTCACAAGTACTAAGTAACACTAAGGAGGCTTAGGCCCACTCTTACGGAGAGGCAGCTTTGAAATACTGACATGCTCGCCTGTCAATTCATATCAGCAGTGTGTACACTACTGTATAATAACCCATAGCTTTGCTACCTTGTAAACCAGCCTCTCCAAAGAGACTGATGATTCAAACATGAGGTAAAATTTTCATTTGGCAAAAAATGCAATATGCGTGGTACTTTTTTTTTTGTTTGTTTATTGTCTTTTGTTATCCAGGGGTATTACTCTCTGCTTTGGAGGAAATGCATTTACTTCTGCAATTTCCAGTTGGGCAAGTGTGTCTCTAATATTTACATGCAACTGACATGCTGGTCCCTGTAAAGCAAATAGAGGGTGTTAATGCAATAGGAAGACAAGAGGTTATGGGGTCCCATTCCTCTATTCCCAGGGAGCTGCCTGACCAGCGCCATCCCTCACCCTGCCCTGACTTGGCCTGTCTGAATTGCCTTCCTGCCATCATCAGGGAACAAAGATGGGGGCAGTCCTCTATGTCCATAACCCTCCAGAATCCAACCAATGCGAGATAACAAAGACCCGGGGACCTTGTGGACTAATACGAGATCTAAGAGCTGGTCTAAGCAAAGCCCCTCCTGTCACTTTGCACCCTAGAAAAAAGAAAGCCAGGGTCCCTCTATCTCAGAAATCAAGAACAAAGAAATGTTTAAATCATGTACTGGTGACAGGGAGGTAGGACTTCAGCCTCTGTCTCTCATGCTCCCTCCTAACTTTTATAGTTGTGTTACTGCATTGTTGTGAGGCCCCTACCCCGTAACCTCTTAGTACCACCCAGCCCGTGCAGTGGCCCCTCTGCCCTGCCCGAGAACTGCAGTTACTAGGGCACTCAGCAAGGGCTCATCACAGACCTCTGCAACTGCACCCCAGAAGCCATTATACCTAAGGAAGGATACTAGGACTGGAAAAAGAGTGTGTTCTCAGCTGGAGAGTGTCAGTGTGATGAGCCAGAAACTGAAGGAACCCAAAAAGTAGCAGCTTCTAGGCCAGCTGATGAAGGGCCCAGGTGTGCTAGCAGCTCAGGACATGGGGACCCAGTGGGCTTTTCTTCTGTGGGGTTCTCTAGCCTCTAATCAAGCCTGCTTCTTAAATATATCAGGGTCAGCGTTTCTCTGGACTGGATTATACTTATCAACAGTGAGTTAAGCTCCCTACTGGTTTAAAGAAAATTCATAGTCCAGGCAACTTTTCTCATTCCTCCTTCTTTAGAGACAATATGCAGTGTCATCTGATGACACTGATCCCAGTGGAAGGTTGCAGAGTCCCTATGCCGGGGCTGACCTTTGCTGCGTTTGTACCCCTAAGCTGGGCTGCCTCTACTGCCTCCTCGGAAGCCACCTGAGCCGCTCGGTCTCTCTGTGCCTAGACATCAAAGGTAAAAACTGGAGAACAGGTAGTAAGTTGGAGTCATTGCCCAGGCAGAGAGATCTTTATCATTTTGTTGCTTCTGGAAACTTTTTATAGGACTCACCTTCACAGTGATTTGTGGGAGACAAGAGCAGCATCAGCCTGTTTCAACGCTGGACAAAAACACACTTTAAAACTCACATGCACACATATATACATCTATACATTTATGTATGTGTACACACACAATTAAATACAGGTTCTTCCTGGCTAGGGGTCCAGAGAAGTGAGAGATTACGTGTTTTTTTCTACCTGGGCTCAGTTAAAAATGGAATGAGACAGTGACCCTTAAAGGGTCCTTTTGACCCGAAAGCCTCTGATCTCACACCATCTCAGTTATTGTTTACCATATTTTCACCCAGTTGCAACCACCCAGCTGATTCTAAAAGACCTCCAGCCATCCTGGTTGTGCCACAGTTTACGTCCACATTACAGGTGAACAGATTTGGGCGACAAACAGGTAGGAACACTGCCCAACAGCTTAACCAAGGATGGTCCGAACAAGTCCTGCCCACAGAGCTTGCCTGTCCATTTCTGAGACAATGTACCAAGCACTTCAAGTGCTTTCACATCAGTTCTGTGAGATTAACTAGAGAGATTCTGTCTGTATTTTTTTTTTTTTAATGTGCATTAGCGTGAAGGTGTCAGATCTCTTGGAATTGGTGGTACAGACAGTTGTGAGCTGCCATGTGGGTGCTAGGAATTGAACCCGGGTCCTTTGTTAGAGCAGACAGTACTCTTAACCACTGAGCCATCTCTCCAGCCCCCTGTCTGTATTTCTCACAGCTGAGGAAGCTGAGCTCACAGAACTCAGAATTGGAAGTAGCAGGAGTGTTGTCTGGCTTTTAGCTTTGCTTCTGTGTTGGAGCCCTGCCCCCACAGCTACCCCCTCCACCTGACAGCTGCCTGGCTGCCTGCCCTGTAAGTAATAACTGCAGCTATCTGGAGGACTAACTGCACTAGACAGGGACAGGGAGACACTGACACCACAGACTGTCCATCGAGGTGTCTAATAAATTGCAGAAGTTTAGGCTTTCATCAAAGATGTTTGCTTATTCAGAGTTATGCAACCCAGTGCTTTCCTCCAAAACTATATATTGGAAGGACACACTCCTCCCTGGTTGCCAAAGGGCCCATTGCTTGGTTAATAGACGTCAACTCCAGAGAAGATGGCTGCCCAGAGAATCATGAACTCAACCTTTTTCCTAAAGGAAAAGCATGTAAAACATCTTTTTTATTTTATTTTATTATTTTATTTTATTTTATTTTATTATTTTATTTTATTTTATTTTATTATTTTATTTTATTTTATTTTTGAGACAGGGTCTCACTATGTAGAGCTCTGACTGACTGTCCTGGAACTTGAGCTATAAACCAGACTGGCCTCGAGCCTGCCTCTGCCTCCAAGTGCTAAGATTAAAGGCGTGCGCCACCCACCCAGCACATTTCTTTACAGCACATATCTTTACAATTAAGTCCTGTCAAGTAAGAAGGCTTATTAGACACTTTCAGGATTCCAAAGTAGTTAGTAACATGCTTTTGATGTTGGAGTGCTAAAAACTTTTCAGAACCAAAATGGGTGAGTAGGGTAGGGGTAGCATTAAAAATAGAAATACACACAACATCCCGGTGGATAGAGTAATGTTACATGACCAAGTGCAGATAACTGATGCCTACCCTCCAGGATTTGTTCAGTCACGGAAATGCAAGTGGTGAAGCCTCCTCACTACTCATGGTATAAATAAATAAATACTGTCTCTCCTAGAATCTCTGAAAGAAAAAGCAGCAGGAAAAGGGGGTTGCTTCATCTTTGGGGAACTGCAGCTTTAGAATCAATAGTGGCGGAGGCTGTTTGCACTTTGTAGAAGGGCAAGGCCATTTGCTTATTCCAGAGAGAAGAGTTGGCTGGATCCAGTCTGCTCTGTGAGTTACTGTCCATAAACTTAATCTAATTGTACTTATTTTTTTTTCCTGCGTGCTTTTCAATTACCAAGAAAAATTTGGTAACTTCCATAGCTTTGGTAGTTTGTGTACAAATCATAATAGCTCCAATGTGAAAAATCAAAAGTGTAACCTGTCACTTAATGTTAGAAAATGGCCTAAAATGAAGTTTAATAAATGATCTTTGTACCAAATGATAATTTAAGTGGGGTAATTTTCTGCAAGGAAAATGTACTATTTTTATGTTTCCAACCCTTGTGAATTAAAATAAAAAACACCTTGTTTTCTAAAAGCCTGGTGATATGAGTATCAGGCTAATGAGATTATAGGCAGGACTCCCCCATCACTGAGCAGCAGGTACAATTTTCAAACTGTGGAAAGAGGCTGTGTTCTCTGAGCTCTGGTGCTCATTTCAAGCTACAAAAAGGACAGTGGATAATATGTTCTCATTGACGTCAGCAGGGTAAATAATACCTCGCCCCAAACTGCCTGAGTACACGTTAGCCGCCACAGGTTGCTGGCGGAGAACCGTGCTAAGCACAGGCTGCATGCAGATGGCCTCACTGGGCCGTTAATGCTGCTTGTGTTAGGGTCAGGACAGAGCCGATCACTACAGGCTCTGCATAGGAAGTGGAACAAAGATAAGCACGCCGTGCCCTAGTTCAGCTCCTTCAGAACAAGTGACATAGAGGATGGAAAGCACTCTGAGCTGCTAGGAAGGCCAGCAAAGAACACTGCTACTTAGTCACAGTGTCACCTCTGGGGTCTGAGACACAGACACACACACACCATGGACTCGAGGACAGACATCCTTTAAGGTGCTTTTCCCTTGGGGTTCTGGAGAATTCCTTTGCCAAGCAGTTGTGTGTGTGTTCTAGACTTGTGATGCCAGATTCCAAGTAAAAGGGCAAGGATTAAATCCTGCTTTCTGGCAGTGAGAACAGCTGAGATTTGGTTTCCATTACTTAAGCTGTTCCCCTGGGCCAATATTCTATAGAACTGCAATAGCTATCACTGAGGCAAGCCTGGTGTCTGTGAGGGTGTGTATAGAACCCTTAGTGTGCATGTCCACAGCTCTGTCCTGCCTTCAAACAGCTCTTCTTCCCCTTGGAAAACAATTTAGTAGTAGTTTCGGTTTGGTTTTGTTTTCTTTTTCACCGTTTCAGTGCTTGTTTTGTAAACTTTGCCCTTGCCCATTGAACCACTCATCTTAATGCTGTCATAGGCAACCATCCAGGCCTCCCCCAATTCCAAGGACACCCTTCACTTCCGTGGCAAGCACAAAGGCCCTATGAAGAACAGCAAAGAATAGACCATAGAGGCTAGAGCACTACGCTGTGGCCTCTGCTTGGCCAGCTCAGGGACACAACAGGCCAGCAGTAAGCACATTTCTAAAACCTCCAGCCACCCTATGGCCAGATACGAACAAACTGAAGCTTCATTCTTGACAGCTGCCCTTTCTTTTCTTCCCCATGCCTTGGATTGTGGAATCAGAGTTCTATGATAAGCAGAAAAAAATGTTTGGACTGTTCTCCGAATAACATCACCTACACCGAAGCTCAGTTTCTAGGAGGTGGATCCAGAGGCTCAGCCTGGGCCGGTGGAGAAACCCCTTACTCCGCTCCTTCAGAGTTAAAAATGCAGACAGTGACAATTCATTTGAGGGGTGTTCATACCTCCAAGTGGGTCCAAAAAAGGAGGAACCTCAGCTCAACCTGCACTTCCCAGGAGCAAAGCCAGGTTTTGTGCACCAAAGATATTTTTTTGATCTTGTATGGATATTTTAACTTTTTTTAGTGTATAAAATAATGGGTTTATTGTGACATCTTCACACCTACCTACATATCCAGTTCTTTGTTCACAGTCACCCTATAACCCTCTTGCCATTCCTCCCATATTGTTTGGACCACTTCCTGAATTTGCATGTCATTCTTGTATAGTGGTTGTACTAATTAATCTTCCTGCATTGTTCCATTGTATCAAATGTGCTGCCTGGGCAAGCACTGTGCACTGAATTCCAAGTGCTATTGGCTGCATAGGAAACCTCACACAGACCATAGATGGTCTGCCTTAAGCTCATTAAAGCATGGCTCTGCCCTTCCACTTTGGCTCAAGCTAAGAATTTCAAAGTCTGAACAGCTCTTGAGCAGTGAAATACTTTGAGTAGCATCCAGGAAGAGGAGATAGCTATAGGTCTTGAATGAATCGAAGTGGATGGACCTTCACCTCAAACATGGAGCTGTCATCAGTGATACACTTGCCACAATCTAGGCACAAAGCTTAGGACCACAAATCATTGAGGCTGAGCCTGAGGGGTCAGGCAGAGTGGGGAACTTGCCATGTCCTGGGGAGTCTCCTTGCTGAATTCATCTATATCTACAGTTACAGAGCCAGGGAGCCCTGCTCCCTCCCTTTGTATGTGTATCTAACGGCCTTTCCCAGGGGCTGCTGGGCTGACCTGAATTGGCAATGAGGGGGTAAAACAAGCAAAACATGCATTTAAGTGGGTGAGTAACAACTACAAAGAAGTGACCTGCCTTGGAGCGAAGACCCCAAGACTGGCTGGGGAGAAAGGTCAAAAAATTCAAAGCCAGAGAAGATGAGGCAGTGGGGTGCTGACCTTCAGGAGCCGAGTCACCCCTCCACAGACAGGCTTTGAAAGCTTCCTACTCCATTTTCTTTCCTCCTCCTCATTCTCCAAAGACGGAGTAACAAAGCCTGAGCTGCCCAAGAGAGGGCCTGAGAACTCTTGACTCTAAGGCTTCCCGCCAAGCTGATGGGATGGGACACAGCTGATCTGCAATGACAAAGCCTTCTACAAAGCATACCATGCAAGGGCCCAGTTCACAGTCTTACCTGTGCTGGCCTGAGATCCACTGAAACTACGTTAGGCCACTACAGAAACTTTAATCATCAAGGTGAGGGCCAAAGGGTGGCCACGCCGTTGGAGGGGTCCCAGGAAATGAAGGGCCAGTACAAAGCTAGGTTTGGGAAGAGAGGCTGGCTCCCAGGCCCACCCAGTGGGTAGCAGGGAGGTTCTTCAGGTGGGTAGTACCACCCCTTCTTGCCAGAGACAGCACAGAAGGTATCAGAATATCGGGTCTGTGTGGGTCCTTAGCACCCTGGCCTGCCCCGGACCTATGCAGGTCACTGTAAAACTTCATTGTCCCCACTTGTGATGGGAACACAGCCTGACTCAGCACTGCCCTCTCACACGAAAACAGTAATGTTCTGCCAACTGCCCTTGACAGCTTGTCACCATACTCACTCTGTCTTGCTTTAACCCGACTACCTGACGCCAGGGTAGAAAACAGTGATGGTTTCCTGTGAAATCTCCCCACGCTGACTGAAAACGACCTGCACTGAAAACTTCACCCTGAGATCTCTGACTTTTTACGCGTTCTGGGTAGCACTGGTCATGACTGACACAAGGTGAGCCCATCCCTACGAATCCGAGGTTTCATCTCATCGACTGGATTTGGAATCACCAAGGAGATGTCTGGGTCTATCTGTGAGGAAAGTTTCCAGAAATGTTTAACTGTGGAGGAAAGAACCATCTTGACTGTGAGTGAGCATACCGTAGCTGGCTGCCTTGGACTGAATAGAATGGGAAAGAAAAGGAAGCCAGCGGAGGCTGAGTTCATCTGCTGTGACCACAGACACCACGTGACAAGCTACTCACCATGGACTGTCCCCTCGACTGGACGCTACTCAATGTCTGTACAGGCCTAACTGTCCAGGCAGAGAGAAAAGGAAGAGGGGTGGTTTTTCAACCCAGCGTCTGCACTCATTATTTACAGGTGCTTCACTTGATTTGAGTCCAAACCTGGGCTCAGTGAGGAGACTGAATGTCCCTCACAGCTGCTCCTTCCTGCAGCAACAAGACTGACATCACTGTTGTCAGGGAAATGGTGTTTTGATTAAAATCATGTGACAGCTACTTCATGATTCAATAAACAAATCCACTGTTAACCCTTGCCTGACTGTCTTGCCAGCAGCTGTGGTCACCAGGCAACCTCTACCCAGGAGGGAGTGGCTGTGCCAACCTGGAGGTAGCAGAGTATGACAAGTGGCCCAGGCTGGCTCCTGGCAGGTCCTCCATGAGGGAACATGAGTCATCAATCACACAGACCAAGCAGACTTCAAGAACGTCTCTCCATGGCATTGAGGCAGCAACCACCCTTCCGCAGGAGGAACCCTGGGCCACTCTCTTGGACCAAGCAGCAGGCACAGCCCCAGGACTCAGATGACTCCCTTAGGGCTTTGAGGCCAGTCAAGAACCTAGTTCCCAGAGTTCTCAACAACCAGATTCTCTCCCTATGAGGACAGATCAGTGAGGTAGCCAGAGAAAGGGGTTGAGAACAATTTCTGGCTTACAACTGGATGACTTCCTGGATCACTCACTTGGCTTTAGGCCCCTGACATGACACACTGCCCAGCAACCAAGTCCCTTTCCATTTCATCCTCAGGACATTTGCTCTAAGTGAAACAAAAGCAAGGAAGGCTCCCTGAGTCACAGAGAAGGGGATTTTTGTGGATAAAATGAGCTGCAGCCTCAGCACAGCTGGCTTCTGAGGAAGATAACCAACCACCTGAAATGTGTCCAAGGTAAACATTTACCACAAAGGTATCTGGTTAAATGCTTGATGTATTACAGTAAACAGAGGCTCAAGAAATGACAGCTAATGCTGTCCTCAGCTGGGGAGCCTTCTTCAGATCTGACCGAGTCAGCTGTGGCAGGGGCCAGATGCTCAGTGGTCAGGGCTCAGCTCAGGTACACTCCACAAGTTGAATGGCAGGGCCAAATGGTCCTGAATATGTTAGAAAACAACTCCATTATCATTTTAAAAAGTGTGTGCTCAGGCTCCTGAGAATCACCGTTCTTACCACTGCAACCTTGCCTCTCCAGTGACCAAAGTACATGAAGGCTGGCAGCTCAGTTATCTACCACGGGCTCAGGCTGCTAAGGCTTTGTAAGGAGCAGTCAGCCAGCACGTTCCCCCACCATGCAGCATGCAGCACCCTTGGGGCTGCCTAAACCAGACAGCTGGGCAACTCAGGCAGGGGCAACAGCATTCAGGGACACAGAAAGGCAAATGTTCAAAACAGGAAAGATTGTGCGGCCTCCACTTACAGCAAATGAAAAGTCAGGTGATTTAAAGAGAGCCTTTCTGTCAGTGCTTTAACCATATAAATCCACTGGATGGGGGTAAGAGCAGAAACTTCTTGCAGTCACTGTATCTAGTGACATCAGCACTAGGCAGCCCATGCTCTCCACTCCTACCCATCTATCACTGGCCCTGAGGCCACAGCTGGGACCCCAGTGACTGTTGAACTGGAACTTTGCATCCCTCCTCCATGTGGTTGTAGGAGGCAAAACAGGCTTGTAAAACATCCAGGAAAACGTCAGGCATGGAATAAGTAGAA